ACATTCCTTTAAAAGATCCTATATATTCTGATTCCATTGTAGAAACAGCCCTTGTGGTTTGCTTTCTGCTTCTCCATGACACTACACCCCCAGCCATTATAAAAATATATCCACTCGTTTACATTCTATCATCAATACAGCCTCTCAAATCAGCATCACTATAACAGACAACTTCCAAGTTTTGGACTCGATGGTAACTTAATCATAGTCCTGTGTCTTTTTCAAATACCGCAGTACCTTTTTGCCTGCATTCCAGTGTGCAATACCAGGATTTGATTGAAACCTTCCTAGTACACTTAATGCAAAAGCTAAATCAGGTTTGGTGCATACTTGTGCATTCATGGCACTGCCAACTAGAGATGCATACGGCTTATCCTTCATAACTCGAATGTCATGTTGAGTTATAGGGCATTGTGAGAGAAAGAACTTATCCCCTTTACCAATGGGGACATCACCCGCACTGCAAGCTTCCGTATTGAATCTCTTCAACACTCTCTCAATGTAGTTCTTCTGAGATAGCCCCAAGGTTCCATTCTGCCTATTCTTCACAATCCCAGTACCCAAAACATAATGAGCCTCTCCCAAATCTGTCATATCAAAACTGTTACATAGAATTTTCTTGGTTTCAATCATTAACTGCATATGAGAGCTTGCCAATGGTATATTATCCACGTATAAAACCATGAAAATGAATTGAGATTTGTGTTGCTTCATGTAGATACAATTATCAATTTTGTTCTCCACAAAACCAAAGGACTGCACAACTTGATCAACACGTTTATACCACTGCCTTGAAGCCTGTTTTAAACCATAAATAGACTTATTTAGCTTGCACACCAGATGTTCTTTCCCCCTTTCAACAAATCCTGGGGGTTGTACCATATAAATGTCCTCATCAAGGCTACCATTAAGAAAGGCAATTTTAACATCCATTTGGTGAAGTTCCAAGTCAAAATGAGCTGTGAGTGCCATAATAACCCTAAAAGTCTTTGGTAGAAACTAGGGAAAATGTGTTTGTGTAATCCAAGCCTTCCTTTTGTGTGTACCCTTTAGCTACAAGTCGGGCTTTAAGCCTTTCAATCCTGCCATGAGCATCCCTCTTAGTTTTAAATACCCATTTGCACCCTTTTGCCTTCTTAGTGTCTGAACCATCAACCAAAGTCCAAACATGATTACTTGCCATGGAAGCAAGTTCTTCTGACATTGCAGCTTTCCACAAATCACTCTTAGAACTCTCCATGGCTTGTTTATAAGTCATTGGATCATCTTCATCACCAAGATCATACTCAACTTCATGTAGATAACACAAATAATCATTTGGTATAGCAGACTTCCTGGTTCTCATCGATTTCCTTAATAAAGGGTTTCCATAGCACTAGCATTAAGAGAACCATGCCACACCTGAGAAAGGGGATCGAAACCCTAGTTATAAGGATGTAACTGCCCCTCCTATCATGGCTGCAGTTACTTTCAGTTTTCCAACTCCTCATAACCGTTCTCTACATCATTTTGTACAAAACTCCTAGTTTTCTCACCTTATTATATACATGATCAACATGTATAAGTTTCATTACATTATATCTCCTTATGGTAATGTTATTTCATGTCTTTATTAGGTGTCTTGATTCACTTCTCGCATATAAGTACTAACAAATGATACTCTATAAAATGTCAATCTCTTATGCTCCAAAATTCAGGGTAGTTAACGACAAGGGTTTTCAGTGATCGTAGTAGTTTAATCATATATAGATGCTTACATGGGTATCCCACATGGTACCTCCTGGTCTTCTCTTTCACCACTCGGTGAAGCCTGCTCAAGAAGGGATTTGACTGCTATACATGATATCCTAGAGAATATTGGCTATAAAGACAATGGAATGACAAATGAGGTCCTATTTTTGTTTAATAAATGGAGAAATATCTAATAAGTTGTGTTGTATATATTTAGCCTTCTCAATAGTTACGTTCCACTGCAGCTCTCGTTCCAAATGTGCACTAACCAAATGCTGGAATCATTAGATTCAAAGAAAAGGGGGGATTCTACTTTTAAGTACAAGGACTTCAAACCACAATTGAGTGTTATTCACAGGTTAGGTTCTTATTATGATACTTGTGGGAAATTCTGAGTAGAGGTTTGACAAAAGTTGCTTTCTTGTTCTACCGATATCTGAATTTGGCCTTCAATAGGATGTTCTTTATCTGACCAGTTAAAATAAATTACTAAACAAAGCTTCGTACGAAATTTTGTTTGGTGTAAGATTTCCAGTCAGAATACGATCGTTACATTTTATCTTCTAATTCATGATAGGAAGATTTGAAGAGAGGAAATTGGTAGCTTAAGGTATCTTAGAGTATTTGCATGATCAATAAAAAGAACAAAACTGAAAGAAAAAAAAAATAGTAAATCCTTAATTGCTGCTTTCTCTGCATTATCGTTGCTGACAGTTCTATTTCACTTGCAGTTCATTGATTTTGGAAGAATGGTTTCTCCAACAATTTTTGCCCCGCGTAGTTTGTCTTATCTCATGAGCGACAAGCCTCAGGAAGCTATAAACAATGCAATGCAAGCACAAGTAGTTTCCCCACTGTTTGATATCCTTTCCTATTATATTCTGATTGTATTCGTTTATTTTATTTATTACAAACAATGTATTTTGACTCCATCTGTTTGATATCCTTTCCTAGTATATTCTGATTGTATTTGTTTATGTTATTTATTATAAATTTTCAGGATGGCAATCCCAGAATATCCACCTTTGCCTGATGAAAAATAGTAGGGATGGGAAGAGTTATAGTACAAATTTGGCATTTACTCCTCCTGAATATATTAGGACTGGTAGGTAGATCGTGGAAAAAAACGGCATTTATTATTATTTACTTGACAAACATCCTTTAAGTATGCAGTTCAGCAATTATTATACACTGCAGATCCCTTGTCTTGCAGGGAGAGTAATACCAGAAAGTGCAATATATAGGTTTGGACTCTCTTGATTGATCTTCTCAGCAGAAAGCATATCCCCTCTAGCCATTTAAGTGATTGTTCCAGTGGTGAACTGAATTAAAAAAAAAAAAAAAAATCATTTGTAGGAAAAGAGAAATTAGGGAAACTCTTGTAAAGATCTAATTGTTACTCTTTTACCTACGATAAAATAGTTTACTTTCAATTGTTATGAACTCTGCATGAGGATTTATCCTTCTTAGGATATGTACACACAAATAAGTAAATTTATTCATCTGGCGGTTGATCATTTTGTACCAGGCCCTAGACCTGATTCAAGACAGATATCTTCAGATGCTGACAGATTCTTGCTTGGAAGGAGAGCTTTCTAATGATAATGGTACCGGGTTGGCACGCTTGGCTTCACAATGTTTACAATCTGAACCCCGAGAGCGACCAAATCCAAAGTGATTAGTTGCTTCTTTGACTCCTCTTCAGAAAGAAACTGAGGTTAGTTCTTTCTCCTCTGTTTCTCTAATTAAGCATTCTATTCCCAACTTTACCCTGGGAGCATAGTTTGATTGTTTAAAATCTTCACACCATTTTTTCTAGATCTATATTTGGGGGCAGTCTTGTAATCAGTATATTCATATGTTATCTTCTTTTCACCAAACTCAATCTGAGCTAATTGTGTAAGCTCGTCGTATCTACCGATTCATAATTTGTTAATACTGAACCTTTGTACCAAGCGGAAATATTTGAAAATTTGGGAAAGGGATATGACTCTCATTTGTTATTAGTGAGGACTTGAGAGAGTTACACTTTTGTTTAGTGCCTTTCATGGTGAATGATACTCTCTTATGGCCCAAAATTGAGGTTGGTTAATTACAAGGGTTTTCAGTGATACCGTACTTGTTGGGTGCCAATTAGAAGCACTCAGATCTGCAGCATCCTAGTAGTTTAATCATACATAGATGTTTAACATGATGATGTATGCTGTTAAAATATATTACTTCACAGCTTTGTACGAAGTTTGTTTGGCATTACATCTTATCTTCTATTTCTTGATAGGAATAACAAAATTGGTAGTTCAAACGAAATTGGTAGTTTAAGGTACGTTAAGAGCATCTAAACCTGGTAACTCTACTTGCATGACCAATAAAAAAGAACAAAACTGAAAGAAAAAAAATTATTATATCCTGAATTGCTGCTTTCTCTGCATTTGTTATGGTTGCCGACAGTGTTGTTTTGCTTGCAGTTCATTGATGTTGGAATGATGGTTTCTCCAACAATTTTTGCCCGGCGTAGTTTGTCTTATCTCATGAGTGACAAGCCTCAGGAAGCTATAAACGATGCAATGCAAGCACAAGTAGTTTCCCCACTTTGGCACATTGCATGTTATCTTCAAGCTGTTACCCTTTCGGCCCTTGGAATGGACATTGAAGCTCAAGCAGCACTTAAGGAGGGTACTACGCTTGAATCCAAAAGGAGTAAAGCAGTTGGACAAAAGTGAAAATCTAGTCCGGTCGACCAGGTGCCCAGTTTTCCACTTCTTTCGGTTTGGCTCTCAGCATATATAGGCGTCGATCGATCATAAGGTTTAAAACCACTGGAGCCAAAGCTTCAGCATTTCCATGGTATTAGATTTTGGTCATTTTCCTGCAGTATATATTGTATTTGATTTGATTTCTTGTGTGTCAATTCGCGTATATGAATTCCTTCGAAAAAATGGAAAAAAAAAAAAATAGAAAGTTGTTAAAAACAGTGGTAGGGAGGAAATCGTTCAGAAGCTTTATAATTTGTGTACAGAAAGCATATAGGATCCCTACTTGGATAAATAAATAAATAATAATAATAATTAGTTTGTCAAACGTCGTCTGATTGTTGTTAGACACAGATATAAATTACTACTTGGATACAAATAAAAAATAAAAAGTTAGCCCTTTGAACTAAAATTTACGATGAACAAAACAATCATATGCAGTCCATAATTAACTCACTTTCTTTAGTAAGTATCATGATTCTGAACATAAACTGCAGAATGGTCTTGATAAAGTAAACATAAACATAAATATCTTACAAACTAACATTAACAAATCCTCTGCCAAAGAGATTTAGTAGTAAAGTTCTTTATTATGACAGCTCAATACTTGAAAACTTAAAACAGATAAGGCCCATGAAGCTCTTCTAGTGAAGTGAGCCCTTCTGTGCTATCTCAGAAGACGCTGAAAATAAAAATACACAAGCACACGTAATTAAGTTCTGAAGAAGACAACCAAATCAATAAAAAAAACTTTACAAATATATGCATGCATATCACTAATTTAAGAAAGAAAAGTAAAATCACATTTACGTACCATTGCTTAATTGAAGTGCCGCTTGATCGAAATCACCTTCACATAAAGCCAATCATTCAAGACATTCAAGAACCTGATGTACGAGTATCTCCATTGCCTGATGAAAATCAGACTACCACAGACTCCCCAAAATCCCACAATAAAACCAAGCGCCATGCTAACGTAAAATCCCCATGTTATCAGCTCATCATTTTCTTCTTCATTGCTTGAGATCACAGTTTCCTGTTGATCATCACACATGTTTTGAAGTGGAGGTCCGCACAGTTGAGGATTTCCAGCATAATTGGAGGGATCAAAACTTTGGAGCTGAGTGCCTGTTGGAATTTTGCCATTAAAATTGTTGTATGATAAGTCCAAGATACTAAGACGATCTATCCGAGCAAGGCTTGTTGGAATTCTGCCATCTATCTGGTTTCTTGACAAATCCAGGATCTCCAATGCTTGCAACTTTCCAATCTTTGCAGGTAGCTCACCTGTCAATCCGTTTATTGACAAGTTTAAAGAAATTAACCCAACAAGATATGTGATTTCAATTGGAATCTCCCCCGTTAACCTATTGCTTGAGAAATCAATTCTCTTCACGAGTCCCAAAGTGTTTCTGTACGAGTACATTCTTCCCTTCCATACAAATGTTGCATCATCCTTATAATCAAAATCAAGATAATTTGTTGACACCCAATGTTGAAGGATCGGAGATGAATTTCCTATACGTGCCAGAGCAGCCAAATTGCTGAGGCAGTTTGGTATTGCTCCAGAGATGTTGTTCACAGACACATCCAAGTTTTGAATTTTTGTTAGACGGCATAGTTCAGACGGCATGCTTCCATTGAAGTTATTAGAGGAAAGCATCAAGATAACCAAATTCTGAAGGCTAACCCCTAACCATTTTGGTATGGGTCCTGATAATTGATTGTTTCCAACATCAATAACTTTTAAACTGGTGCAATTCTTGAAGGATGAAGGCAACTCTCCAACAAATCTGTTGCTTCTTAGTTTCAATGTTTCCATGTGATATAGTGAGCCTACTGTGGATGGAATTTTCCCCGAAAAAGCATTGTAGCTCAAATCAAGCATGACTAGATGGTCAAAATGTGTCAAGCATTCTGGAAGCTCTCCGGAGAGATTGTTGCTTGAGAGATTAAGAAACTTTAAACTCTTGTATGCTTCACACAAGATAGAAATTGACCCTGAAATGTTATTATTAGAGAGATCCAAATATGACGCATGCGATAGAGTTGAGGGAACTATGGGGTAATTCGTAAAATTCATTGTCGAATTTGCAAACATTTCTCCAATTTGGTTATTGGAAAGATCGATAAATTTCACGTTACGAGTCGTACCCCAAAACCAGCTTGGAATATCCACAATTTCAGCATTAGAAATATTAAGGTATAAATACTCATTCTGAGTTTGAAGCCATTTTGGAAAATACGAACCCATCTTGCAAGACCCCAAACTTATATAGCCCAATTGAAAAGGTGGAGCCCAATTAGAATTGAAGCTTAAAGCTAGTGAGGTAGAGGACAAATCCAAATATCTTAATCTAGAGAGATTCGAGAAGTGGCTTTCCGAAACCACAGTTTTCAGAGCATTCATAGACAAGTCCATATACTCTAGATTAGACAGTTGCCCAATGCTTTCCGAAACCACACCTTCGAGAGCATTCATACTCAAGTCCATATACTCTAGATTAGACAGGTGCCCAATGCTTTCAGGTATTGTTCCACTCAATTGATTTCCAATGAGAAATAATTCTTTCAACGATGAAAAGTTTGTGAGATCAGGAATTGATCCAGAAAGATGATTGTTAGAGAGGTACAGAGACTCTAATGAGTTTTGAACGCATGTGGACAACATTTGAACAAACTCGGAAAACTGTCCACTCAGACTAGTATTGGCTAGGTACAGTGATTGCAAACTGCATAAGCTGGAAAAAGAATGTGGATTCACCGCGTCAAATTTGTTATGAGAGAGATATAGATGGACAAGAGAGGTCAAGTTTTCAACGACACTGGGAATTAAACCAGTCAAACTGTTGTTAGAGAGGTCAAGATAGACAAGGCTAGCATTGTAGTTAGACAACCATAAATATATTGAAGGAGAAGTGCATTGGTTGTGAGAGAGGTCAACATGAGCAAGAGATTTTGAAGAATTTATGTTAAAAAGAGTGCTGGAATGGATTACAGGAGAAGGAAGACCACACCCCTGTAACGTCAAGTTTGTAAGTTTAGGGAGCTTACTAACTGTTTCCAGCCAGTCATGAACATTACTGAGATTGGTGCGACTCAGATCCAAATATGTTAAAGAAGAAAGAAGAGGGAGCCACGAATTCAGATTTTCTGCACTGTTAAAGTCATTCCATCGGAGATCAAGATATTGCAAGTGGGTAAGGTTTCCAACTTGGCTTGGAAATCGACCACCAAAAGAAGCAAAAGAGAGATCGAGGTATCTTAAATTGGAAAGAGAACCAATGAAATATGGAAGTCGGGTCCCATTGAAGTTTATCCACGAAAGGTCCAAATATTTCAAATGCTGCAACTCAAGTAGTTTGGGACTCATCATCTTACCTTGCAAAAAATAATCGATGTACTGCGTGTCTGCTTTATGTTGATGTGAGTAAGATTCACTCAAATAAGACCATCCAAGATGAAGTTGAGTAACATGGTTGGTTCGGTTGCTGCAGTGGACGCCGACCCATTTGCAACAATCCTGCTTGTGTTCTTCTCTTCCCCACGAAGAGAGGAGATGGTAGTGATCCACGAGGCCGTGTTTGAAAGCAAGGAGTGCTTCTCTTTCCCTCTCAAAGCACCTCACCACTCCTTCTGAAGAAATATTTTTGAATCCAAGGGAAAGGGAAGGGTTGACAGCACATTGCAGTAAAGTGAACAGCACAATTAAAGCACGAAAGAGTTTGTTCAAGCACCTGATTCTGATTCTGTCACCCTCCATCTTAATTCAACTAAATAAAGCAAGAGACAATTGAAGCACGAAAGAGTTTCTTTAGGATTTTGATTTTGGAGCAAAAGGAAAGCTGCAAGTGTAGTTTTGTTTTTAATGGGTTTTTTATTCTCTCTTTTGTTTTTGATCAGAAGGTTTATTCTTCTCAACTCCTATCTTTTCGGACTTTTCCCTTCTTCCAAAAAATAAAAAATATTTTGAATCTTAACTAAAAGTAATTTAATAATTTTGAATCTTAACTAAAAGTAATTTAATAATTTTATTCAATAATTAAGATAAAAAATATTAACAAAAACACAAATTAGTTTTCTTCTCTTTCTTCTCTCTCTCCCCTTTTCCTCTTCAGTCTTCACCCCCTCTTTTCTTTTTCACCCATCCCCTCTGTTCACCTGTGCCTCGTCTATTTCTCTCTGTCTCTCTCATCCATCCCCTTCTCTCACCTCTCACTTACACAAAAAGCCGAGGCCCCACATCTTATCTTTTTATATTATTTTTCTCTTAAATTCTTCTCCCCTCACTTCCTCTTCACCCTTCACAACAACCTCTATATATCTTAATTCTTTTTCTGTAATTTGTGTACAAAAAGCATAAAGGATTGTCGGTGTATTATTTCTGATGAAATAAATTATAATTAGTTTGTTAAAGGTTGTGGCATCGTTGTTAGACATAGATATAAATTATGGAAAGGGATCTTTTCCGGATCCCTTTCTCCTAATCCACCGAATCTGGGAATTTGAGCCATTGGATTAAATTTCAATGGTCCGGATCCCCGGAATTGGTGGAAGGATCCCTTTCCATAAATTACTACTTGGATTAAAATAAAAAAAATAAAGAGTTAACACTTAGTAAATTTGACAGGATTTTGCATAGGAGTGCAACCAATCATTTGAACTAAAATCTACAACGACCAAAACAATCATATGCAATTCAGAATTAACTAAATTTTTTTAGTAAATATCATGATTCAAAACATATACTGCAGAAAGGTCTTGATAGAGTAAATGTAGCATCGAACTTCTTACAAACAATTAATTGATAAGGTAAATGTAGCATCGAACTTCTTACAAACAATTAACACTAACAAATCATCTGCCAAGGAGATTTAGTAGTAAAGTTCTTTATATGACAGCCCAATACTTGAAAACTTGTATAGATAATGGCTCACGAAAGCTCCTCTAGTTAAGATAAAAATAAACAAGCACGCGTAATTAAGTTTTGAAGAAGACAACCAAATTAATAAGGACGACTTTACAAAGAGATGCATGCATATTGCTAAATTTCAGAAGAAAAAAATAAAATAAAATCACGTTTAGGTACAATTGCTTCTTAATTTGTGCAATTCTTGAATTACAAATTAGTGGATAGTGACGGATGCAATTTTTGAAGGATGAAAGCAACTCTCCAACAAATCTGTTACTTCTTAATTTCAATGTTTCCATGTGCTATTGTGAGCCTACTGTGGATGAAGGCAAGTGTCCTTAGCATTTATCTACAATACTTGTTGATTTAAAGTTAATGTTAAATCAGCCGTTGACTAGTAATGTAGCGTTTATATGGACATTGATTAGGAACTACGTGTTAATACAGGCTTCACGTGAATATTAAAAAAATTAAAAAACTCAGTATGGGCCCTACGCTCAATAATTAATTTTGTTTTTAATAGGGTTTTTTCTTCCCTCTTTTGTTTTTGGTCAAAAGATTTATTCTTCTCAACCCCTATCGTTTCCCAGGACCTCAAGACATCGAAGAGAGAGAGAAACCCATTAAAAAGCAAATTAATTACTAACCATAGGATGTGAATCCAAGGGCCGAAATGAATTGGTCAGTCGAATCCGAGTCCATCACCGAGGGCCACTTTCAATCTGGCCGACTGGGGCGTCACTTTCAAAAGCTCCCAGATCCATTCTACCACCACCTTCTCCAAAGCTACAAAGAAAGGTCGGCCTACGACTAATTATCACAGACGATTCAACTAGTGACCAAAACATAGCCACATGTTTATACAAAAATTAAAGTTTTCACAAAGGATTTAAAATTTTCACAATTCAAGTGGAAATGTATTGATTTCATGACTTAGTAATTTTAAGTCTTGGTCCTTGGAATTATTAGTTGAGCAAATACAAATATTTGTTGACTTGTACTGCATGCATAAAGTTGGATAAAATCTATATACCCAGGATTTATTATTCGTTTTATTGTTATTTGCCTTAGCCCTTTGGCATGTGTGTGATCTTCTTGTAGTGCATGCATGAAGTTGGACAAAATCTAAAAGGTCATTTAGTCAATTAGTTGTGGCAAATAAATGCGTTTACTCATTTGTTTTTATATAGTTAAATGTCTAAATGTGATTTCATATTTTATTAATTTTTTTAAAATATGATCCTTACAACATATTTTAAAATATGACCGATTTTAGTTATAAACACGAAATTTCATAAATTAAAAACTATGTTGAGAAAGAACTCCCATCATCCATTGAGTCATGTACGAAGTTAATCCATAATGTTAAATCTTCGTACCCAATTCGTATTTCGTAGTGTAATTATTGACCTGACTTTGAAAAGTTGAACTTCTTCACATCCTATGTGTGTCTTTTAACTTTTTCTAGGTTACCGAGGTAAGTGGTGCAAGTAATTAATTGAGATGTTTTTTATTTTTTTATTTGTAAGGAATTAACTGGGATGTTGGGACATGGAACCCCTCTGGATCCATGTGTCCTAATCCACCAAGTTCAATCATTCAGGCCATTGAAATTTGATTAAACGGCTACAAATAGGAGTCAACTTTAAAAATTACAATAATTTTAACCGTTGGATCAAATTTTAATGGTTCAGATGATTGGATTTGATGGATTAGGACACATGGATCCGGAGGGGATCCATGTCTGGGATGTTGATGGGGATCACAGAGATGGTAGGCTGGCATCGGATGTGGTGGGGTTTTATCAAAGGATTACTGATTTTCTTTCTTGTAGGGAATTACCTGAAATGTTTTTGGTATTCTAAAAATTTCTCATCAATGCGGGCAATAGGATAACCCTATTTACTTTTGAGCAATTTCCATTCACTTTAAACTCCCATGACTTTTTAGATATTTAGAAAACCATTTTCACACATTTTCCACGCGTTTAGAAGGCTTTAGGGTCTGTTTGTGATTGTTGTGTCTTTTTTTTTTTTTAAATTGCTTATGATGTATTTCAAGAATAATCTACGGTAAAATAAAATAGTTGAACATTTAATAAATTGTATATTTAGTAGTGCTAGTATGAAAATGAGTGTAAAAGCATTTGGTAAATTTAATGAAAAAATGATACTATTGTATATAATGACAAACATATGCATAGTTGTGAGGGTGGTGGCAACAACAGCAGTGGTGGGGTAGTGGCGATGATGGTAGCGACAATTGTGGAGGGTATTTTAAGAATTAAAAATAGGAAGTTTAACGAAAAGCCCGTGGTACTGTTCACTTTAATGAAAAACCATTTTTTTACACTAAAAAGTCAAACCTGGTACTATTCACTTTACCCTTTATTTTGTCCTTATCGTTAAAACTCAAAGTTTTCAAGTCATTTTTATTAGTTTTCCTTTATAAATATTCATTAAATGCTTAGCTTTGCTTTTTATAAAAAGTAAATTTTAAAAGTAACCTACAAGTTGCTTTTAAAAGTTGTTCTCTAGAGGCGATTGTGTTAAAAATAGGTACGCTATATGTGTAGAGAGTAAGTTGGGTGTAAAAAAAGGTTATATGAGTTCAAATAAAATTCTCATTTGTGTTTGTTATGGATAATGCTAGAAAAACCAAATTTTTAACAAAAATGCTACTTTTACCATCTAGTTGTACTATCATTTGTACTATCTCTCTAATAGATATGAAACTCATATGCGTTGACGGGCCTTACCTCTATTAGAGAGATGGTACAAATAGGTGGTAAGTGTAACATTACTCAATTTTAACCAAATTTACAAATTAAATAACATGTCCCCAATAGAAAATACATGTTAATCAACACTTAACTAATAATTAACAATCATGTCATTTGGTTGATAAATTTGATTTAAAAATTTGATCTCCTTAACAGTATGTGTTTGTTATTGTGAGATAATTTGTGGTTTGTGTTAACCTAAAATGAGATCCATTTTTTCGCTGTAGTTAATATCAAATCAATAGTGAATGGCCATATATATCTTGGTCATCCAAATTTTGTGACACTAGTTTCAAAGAGTACTCAATGCCTAAGCTGGAGCACAACTAAAGCATGCACGTGCAAGTAGTTTACATCTCAAAATACAAGCTTGCATCAGATTTATATAGACAAGAAAATGCCCTTGCAAATTTAAATAGAAAAAAAAAAAGAGGAGTAGAAATATCTGCTACGAGGTATGGTGGACTTGTATTTGCACCGTTAGCGTCGCAATCATATTGTTTTTATAGGATGGCGAATTTCTTTGGGTTCTTAGTCATCTTAGCCAAATTTGGATGTCATTTCGTCTCAAACACGGCACAAAAGAGAAGTAGACTTGCGTAATTATTTCAGTCAAATTTGGGTTCTACAGGACACGATCTGGTTCAGTGCGGCTTTGAGTGAAACCGCAACCGAAATCAAAACTTTTTACGATGCGGTTTGGTGTGGTTTTGAAGTCAAAACTGAAATGAAACCAAACTGTTTGGTTCAGTTCGGTGCGGTTTCAAACTGTTTTGGTTCATTTTTTTAGAAAAAAAATTGTACATAAGACGGCCTCATTTTCCACACAACACATATAATTAACCACCCCACATGAGAATTCTTTTTTGTACTGCCCTCCCCACTCCCTCATGTACATTTGATCACAGCAATAAATGGTATGTGAGAATGATATATAATCAACTAGCTTAGCCTACCAACTAATTGCACAAATGATAGACTTTGTGAGCAGGAAAAAGCACCCAAATGGAGTGTTGTGGCTTATTATTTGATCAAAGATTCATTTGCATTTTATCACAACAAGAATTCTCAAATGAGTTTTGAGACAGAGAAAGAGAGAGTGATGAGGATTAAGGGATAATTTGATAGTGTGGAAAGGGATGACATTCTAGTATGGTTGAGGCTATACTAAATGTATGGACTCTAACAAACAGCCTAAACATGATATTTAATTTGAGGTGCAATTTCGGTTTCGATGCAGTTTTCAAAAGCCAAAACCAAAACCAAACCGTTACCTACTCTGCGGTTCAGTTTCAAAACCGCAACCGTTTCAAAACTGCAAAACTAAACCGTTCAGTACTGTCTGATTTGGTTTGTGTTTCAGTTTTGATTTTCAGTTTCAAGTGCCCCCTAGTTCTAATTGGCTTGCAATTTCGTCCTCTGTGCACCTCATCGTCATGTTAGCATCCTAGTGTAAAAATTCACATGTAGGATGATGATTAATAGTAAAATGCCAAAAGCACAATAATTCCCCCATCTTAAAGACAATTACAATCAAGATCAAGAGGCAGAAACACAATTAATCAAGAGTGCATTGCCTTTGCCCCTGTTAAGTCTAGTTTTGAAAAGTCAATATGTCGAGTTTTTTTGTTCA